TTTCACTCTTTTTATTTATTTGTTTATTTTATAACATAATTTAAAGTTTATTATAATAATAAAGAGTTGTTACCTTATGCATACACATACATTTATTAATTTTTTGCCCATTTAAATTTTATTATATTTAAATTATATTATATAGATGAATATTGGAAAAAATTTAAGCAATTTTGCATTAATAAAAAATGCTTAATTTATGATTATCATAACAAAAACAATCAAACGACAGTATGCCATGCTCCTGTATACATTCCTACTGCACCCTATTAAAAGAAATTTTCTACATAAGTAAGGTATACACACTTCCTTTGAAATAATGGCATTGAGTAGAGTACACACTGTGTGATTTTTGTGCCTTCAGCCCTTGGTTTTTCAAATTAACCATGTTTATGATTATAAAAAAATATTTGAAAATATTTACATTTTTAAATGTAATATAGAAGATTTTTGTATAAGTATATCCTTCAAAATAAGTGACATTAAAGCAGTAGCATTTAATTGAATGTATTAAAAATTTATGATTATTCTGTTTGCGCTTTTGAAATTCGAATAATACTTTTATTTTCGTCCAACTAAGATTATTAAAACCCTTTTATATAAGATAGGTTAAATTTAATTATGTCAAATTATAATTTGAATACCTTCAGTTTGAAAGCCTTTGTTTTTTATTAATATCAATTAATATTAAAACATGCAGTCTATAAATGTTGATTATTGCTTCAATTTTAAGATATCATTTTTTAAAAGAAACACAGTTGTCTAATAATGACTGATGTTTTATAGTTTTGCTAAATGGTAGAATAGAATTGTATTACCAGTGCTTTTGCAGATGACTTTTTTACCTTTTTTTTCATTCCGTCTGATTAAGAAAATGTTTAAAAAAAGTTTATCTATTTTCGATAGTTTCGATTATATAACTTCAGTTTTATCCAGGATTGGCATGATTCTTTTTCTTTTTGAGACATTCATTTGAGAAAAAAGAAAAATTTTAATGCAGAATTTATCCCTATATTCACAGTGTTGTTAAGTTTTTTTAAATTTTGATTTTATCAATATTAAAAGTCGTATCTAAAGTAACAAAAAGGAAAGAAATGTATGTAAATTATTTGATGTCAAAAATTAACTGATAAATGTTAAAGGATACTAGTATTTGTTAATAAAAGCTCCATGAAATCTTCAAATTGTACCATATATAAATAATAATGTTAAATAATTTGTTGTTTAATAACCATTATACATATTTAGTGTTGTTTATCTGATAGCAAAAACTTTAAAATTCTGCAGCAGTTCGATCAAAGCCTAAGAGGTTTAAATTAACACTCTTTGCATTAGAATTCTGCAAATATTCTTTACTACTTTTTTCAAAATAATTTTATATAGTGATATAGTTGAATAAATTGACCAATCTAAATCCTGTAAATGTTATTATACAAATAGTGACGAAAGTTAGGTTTTGTGTTCGAACTACGAAATTCTTTTTCAGTCTTCCTGTTTTTATATAATTTAAAATTTTACTTCCTTTGGCAATTTTTTTACGTTTTTATTTAAAAAAAAAAAACTTTATTCTTTTAAATGTAACAAAAGTTTTAAATGTAACCACTAATTAAGAAATGCAGTCCAGAAATATAGTTGACTTTTTTTTTTTTTTTGTATTAGCTCAATTGACCATCAGAAACATTTTATTAAAATTATTTGCCATGGTAGATTGTTTTTACCTCTTATTCAAAATATTTACCTTATTTTTACCCAAAATGATGAGTTAAATTAAAATGTTTTCCTTAAATTAAAGGAATTGAGACCAAAAATATATGTTATATGGTTATGAAAATCATATTTCTAATCTCATTTCTTAGGATGTACTTTTTATGTCTTGATCAAAGTTGTAACAATTGAACTGAAATTGTTGAAATTTTTTTTTTTGATATTTAAATTGAATATTTTTTTTTGTGAAATGATTATTTTTTAGCTTTGATGGATTCCCTCTCCATGAAATCTTCACTATATTAGGAAACTTGTCTCTATTTATATTTTTACCTTAGGTTATGCAATTTGGAACTAAAATTATAAATTTTATTTTGGTGTGTTTAATAACAGACTTAAATCACAAAATTTATTAAAAACATGTGGTGTAACTACCAATATGATTATTAAACATCGATTCACTACACACAGCCATGAACTTAATACAACTCTCATGGCTAAAGCTCAAAACCTGGTGACCTTAATCCAGCTCTCCTGGTCTTTCACAAATACAGAGGGGATGAATTGTGGCGTAACTACCACTACTATTTTTTAACATCAATTCACTTATATATAAGACATGATAACTTGATTCAATTTTGAGATACCTTTTGATAGATGAAGGTTGGCATTGTCTAATGGCTCGTTCACTGCAAAGTCTCTCTTTTCTTTTCTTTATTTATGGGGTACTCAAACCCAGTAAAATTTTAGGATGTGGTACAACTCTAATTCAAACATTCGTTACATCAGTAATAATCTTTTATTCCAGCTCAACATCGAAAATAAAAGTGGACCTCAAATTTATATTAATATAGTAATTATTAAGATTTTTGACTTCGATACTTTTTATACAATCCAAAAAGAGTTTTATTTTATTTTTCTTTAAGTAAAGAAAAATTGGTGCTTTAAAAAAAATTAGGACACGAAACAAACATATTGTTTTATTGATTTTCCGAATAATTTATTCCGTATTCGACGACATTTGCTGATCACCTAATTATTTATTTGGTTCACATAATTGTGAGTAGTGACTTGTTGCGAAATGAATCGTTTAAAATAAATTGAAGTTTAAAAAAAAAGAGAAGATTTGTTAGTTTCACAAACTGATAATTTTTTCATATTTTAATATCTTTAATTTAATAATTTTTTAAGTTACTTTAATAGTGATGCTTTCTGTATTTATCTTTTAAATAATAAGTATAAAAAACAAAAAAACGAAATATTCATAATATTGAATAATGGAATATGCTGTTACAAGAAATAATAAGCAGCTTTCGTAAATATGAAATAATATAGTAATGCATTAGCATAATGTTTTAAAACATTTCTAATTTAATTGCTAATCTCCTAACAAAAAAAGAAAGAAACAGACTGGACATCATTTACCAAGGCCGGATTTACGTATAAGCTGTAGCTTGGTGCCCGAGATGACAAGGGCCCTCAGAAGCCCAAAATGCTTCTTTTCTGCATTATCGGACATAATAAATATAAATAAATGACTGAATAAAACAAAAAACTTCATTGTCATTAGAATGAAACATATCATCTTTCAAGCAATTTAAGTATTAATAAATNAGACAACTTATTAATTGTAAATAATTATGAGAATTTTAAAACAAATTAAAAAGTTATGTAAGAAGCATGAATAAAGTCAGATAAATTAGTGAAAATTATAAAGCATTTTAGATACACGTTTTTAAAATAGCTCAAATTAATTGGTAAATTTACTAAAATGATAGGAAGTAAAAAAAAATATATATATATAAACAAAAGAGTTGACAGGTCTTAAAACATATCTACAACCAAATATTTACACCCTACACATATTTACACCCCACACCCCTATTCGAATACTCGAAATTTTAAAAAAAGAAATAGACCCGTCATGGAGATGCTCAAGAATTTTGGTTTGGTTTATGGGATTTTTTAGGATAACCAAAACCTGATCAGTGAACTAGATAAACCAATGAAGAAATTAACAAATCAATTTTTCTATCGCATACACGTTTTTTTGCATACAGTGAGAATGGCCCTGAAATTTTACACTCTTCGACGATTATGCTATTGAACAAAAATAGACAGTGTTTAACGTATCAGAAGGCCAATACCTTGGCCAGGCCATGGCCACCAGAATTTGCCAAAATGTAAACAAACGTAGATAAGTTTGGTTATGAGTGTTAAAATATGAAAAACCAATTCTCTGTTTGATTTTAATGGTTTTAATTGCATCTATTTTTTTATGATTCCTAATTGTATCGTTACAAATCTTTTTCTGTTGTGCATTGAATAAAGGGGGTGATAATTTGACCATCTACATCTGAAATTGTTCTATATCATTTATAATTGCGAGAAGGTTATTTTGTTCACAGAGATTTTTTTAATTAGCAAATATATTCATGTTGTTGGCTGACATGACATTTATACAATTGTCCTCATCAAAGAAGAAGCCCTTTTCAGACTGCACATGCAAATAAATCTGAAAAAAAGAAATCACGATTTTATAATCACTCTATTTCATACTGTAATAATTCTTGTTAATGCTGTTTGAAACATCCATACAGAAATTACGTTTCGTCAAACTTCCACTTGTTCACACTAATAAAAATTTTTATTCATGCAGCATGAGTGAAAATTTTAATGCAAATAAGTGCAATGAAATATATTATATTCACACTAAAGAGAAACATTCATGCAGTGACTTTAATAAAAGAATCTCACAGAAAGCTAATTTAGATGTGCATTCTCTTGTTCATAGTGAGAAGAAACCTTATTCATGCAGTGTGTCTGATCAAAGACTCTTGCCGAATGCTGTTTTAGATGAACATTCTTGTGCTAATAGTGGAGAGAAACTTTATTCATGCAGTGTGTGTGATAAACGTTTCATGCATAAAAGAAGCTTAAAAGATCATTATATTGTTCATACTGGAGAAATACCATATTCATGTAGTCTGTGTGATAAATCTTTCACAAGGAAGTCTAATTTAAATAAACATGTTCGTTTTCATTTAGGAGCAAAGCCTTATTCATGCACTGTGTGTGATAAATCTTATACACAAAAGTCTACTTTAATTCAACATTCTATTCTTCATACTGGAGAGAAGCCTTTTTCATGCTGTGAGTGTGATAAATCTTTTATTAATAAAGCAAATTTAAATCAACACCTTCTAGTTCATAGTGGAGAGAAACTTCATTCCTGCAGTTTTTGTGGTAAAAAATTCTCAAGGAAAACTGATTTAAAAAATCACTATCTTGTGCACACTGGAGAGAAGCCTTTTTCATGTAATTTATGCGAAAAATCTTTTGCTCGAAAAACTCAATTAAATACCCACTCTCTTGTTCATACTGGTGCGAAACCTTATACATGCAGTGTGTGTGACAAATCTTTTAAGCAGAAGTCTAGCATAATTCAACACTCTCTACTTCATACTGGAGAGAAGCCTTATTCATGCAGTGAGTGTGATAAAACTTTTACAAATACAGCAAATTTAAATCAACACTTTCTTATTCATAGCGGAGAGAAACTTTATTCATGCTATTTTTGTGGTAAAAAATTCTCAAGGAAAACTGATTTAAAAAACCATTATCCTGTTCATACTGGTGAAAAACCTTATTCATGCAATTTGTGCGAAAAATCTTTCTATCGAAAAACTCAATTGAATGTACACTCTCTTGTTCATACTGGTGAGAAACCTTACTCATGCAATGTCTGTGGTAAGACGTTTTCATGGAAGATTTATTTGAATAAACATTCTCGTGTTCATACTGGAGAAAAGCCTTATTCATGTAATGTGTGCAATAAAAGTTTCACACAAAAATCCAATTTAAATACACACTCTCGCATTCATTCTAGATAAAAAATAATCATTTGTGTTATGTGTATCATAAGCTTTTCACACAGAAATCTATTTAAAATTAAATTTTTCTCTAGTTCATTTTATATTTAAACATTGTGCAAAAAAGTAATCACAAAAAGTAAAAATTTATTAAAATAAAACCTATGTGCATTTCAATGTCACAACATTCATCAGTTTCATTTTCATCAGTTGGATACAAGATAAGAATCATAAAATCACAGATCAAGGATTGAGTGTAAATCTTTTCATTCAAGTGCAGGCCTCTAGAAAGGGGAAATTATGCACTTAAAATGCTTGCTTCATGAAAGATCAAAAATGTATTTATACATACTATTTTTCTATTATATTGATTTTCTAAGAGAAGTTCTCCTGTACAGAAATCCTAGAAACATAGTGATTATTGCTTTTCATGCTTAGGTTAGTTATTATCTATATAAAGTTTAAAAAAAAAAAATTTTTTTTTTTTAGTAGTGCTTAAAATTAATGTAAAAAAATGTGTACATTTTTATGAAAATAGGAAGATTTGCCTCTTGTTTGTTCCGCCTGCAAACACCTGTGATTGCTGTTTATTCAACATTTTTTTTTAAAGTTGATATTTTTTATATGAAACAAAGAAAATTTTACTTATAAAATGTATGTTTTTAATATAGTTATATGCAATTATTTTGTTGTTAATATGTAATTGTGACGAAATAAAAGATTACATGGATTTGAAAAATAATGAACTGTATTTAGAATTTTTTTTAAACTTATAAGGAATGGAGCACAGCAAACATCAATATTAGTCACTAATTGCCATGAATCAGGGCCTCATAAATTTTTTTATAAAGCTCTACTTCTGTAAATTTTTTATCTTTCTCTGTGCCTTTCATTAAATAGCAACTAAATTAAGAACTGTATTTTATTATCTGTTTTAGTGGTTCTGTTTACACACTATAGGAAATCAAATACTTAAATAAATATATGTATCAAATGCACGAGAAAGTGTGACCCATAATTTTTCATCATTAAAATAAAAAGCATGTTGACAGATTTATGTAGGTAAAATTAAACCAAACTTGAAATTTTATTATTAACGGAAGGAGGAATTGAAACTCTAAGTGTCAAATTACATAGCTACGTTTCCTTGATGCAAGTGTTTAGTCAGTCCTAAAATTCTTGATATTTTAGATATAATTCCTTGTATGTTCTTTGGTTTGCTTATCAATATTTAGATTTATTATAAATTTGTATATTAATAGATGGGTAAAGAATTTATTTTCTGTGCAATACATGGCTCAATATCACAGGTCATTCTTTATATATTTTCATTCAAGATGAATTTTTTTTCCTATTTTCTCTATGTTTTATCTACCAGCATTCAGAAATTGTTATAACATTTAAAATGAAACTTTATTTCAGGTGGAATTATGTTTTTCTATATATTTAATAATGTTTTTAACTTGGAGTTTTTAGATTACATTGTGTAGTTAATTTTTAAAAATGTTATTTTTGATGTTCATTTATTTAAAAAATCTAAAAGTAATAAAATTGAAGAATATTTTACATAGTATTTATTTTTTGTAATAAAATGTATTGACTAAATAGTAAGTCTCTATTTTAGTGTTAATTTGTTTTTGGAATTGCTTTTTTTCCCCATTGTATTGTAAATCGAAAGAGGCTTCTGCTACCCTTGAAAATATATAAATGAAAAAGATTAATAAATGCAAGGTTCAAGATATATGAGATCAGATTTAAAACTATTATATTGATTTCAGCTCTGAGTGAGAAGAATATAGAGGCAAATTAATTAAATTGAAAATGAAATATTTATTTTCCAATGATCTATTAAAGGAAATTCTTTTTAGAAATTAAAAGAATACACAGTTGCTGAAATCAAATTTTTACTTTCTTTCCAAATCAGTTGTAACTTATTAGTATGTAGCATTATTCATTATAATGAAAAGTGACAAAAACTTATTGTAAATATTCTATTTTATTTATTTATTTACAGGAATACAATTATTTCATATTGTTTGTTGTTAATCTAATGTTATGCTAAAGTTTTGCAATGTTATTTACTAATTTTTTTAAAATTTCTTTTACTTAAAAGTAATAAACATATCATTCAGTAAGATTTGTTTTGTCCTCCTGTCCTCAGCAAAGCGTTATTTTAAATACTTTAATGAACATTATGAGTTAGTGTACGAAGAAGGTTCTGTTTCTTATCTTGTGAAAACAATCGCTGATTTTCGAATGTTTTTTTAAAAAAATCAAGTTCCATTATTATCAATATCCTCGAAGCGATAAATTCCATTTCAATTTACCATCCATTCTTTTATCTCAGAATATTAAGATAAGATATATCTTAATATACATACATAAATATATATGCGGGAAAGTATTTACCACTCCTAGTCAAATTCTAGGAGGACAGTTTTCTTTAATTCTCTGACAACTGATTTCATTAAATATATAAGAATAGGAAATTTACAATATTCCATTGAGGAGTTTGAAAGAGAGAATTAATTGACAGTGTTATTGAAAGCTGTGTTAGAGAGCACTTTTAAACAAGTCAAGTGATAAATGCAACTTAACATACACTTTATAGAACTTTAATGCAAATGCAATGTTACTTCCTTTATCCGACACAAAAGTGTAAGTCGATAGCACTGAAAAGTCAAAATCAATTTTTTTTCTGGGTATCCAAAATTTCTGAAAGTTCCCCACCACTTTTGGGAATACTTGGAAAACTGCACGTAGACCCAGTAGCAGAAACTCCACCACGACAGCGAGCTCTACACATTATTGCGGCAACGACAGATTTTTTCTACTTCAGATTTGAGAAACAAATGAAGAAAAATTGCTAGCAAAAAAAAAACGAAAATAAGAAATAATTAATAAAAAAAAAAACGTTTAAGTTACTATGATGGCATAATAATGAATTTAATTTAAAGATACTTTAAATAGGTACAAATCACAACACCATAAATTCCATTTCTGTTAATTTCTTCCTTTAAAATGAAAACATTTTCTTTTCAGATTATCAATTGCAAGTTAAACCTTTCTTTCTGTATTAAGTCTCCTGCTATTATGAAATACTCTTCTTATATTTTTAATTTTTAGCACAACCCAGAAATCAAATTAACTTGCAATTTAAATATCAGAGCAAAATCATATATATAAAAGTCATAGCAGTAACCAATTTAATGCAAAATTAAATTAAAACAAATTAAATTTTGCGATACAAGCAAAGGAAAACCACGAAAATGTTTTTTCAGATTTCTTGACTGTAATAGGATTCCATCTAAATGTTCATTATAGCAATGAAATTATTTTTTGATTATCATTTTTTACCATCCTTGATATAAAGCCTATAAAAAAGTACCAAGCCATAAGAAATGGGGCATTGAATAAATCTCAAGAGAAAAGAATGAGAATGAGGCATTTCCAAAATCTCTTCAATGCTACACGAAGAAAATGTAAAAATTAATTCAAACTGCGATTTATCTATAGTAATTTTCAAATAATCATTTTTATTTAATCTATTTAAATGATGGTTTTATATAATTTATTGTATTATATATATGAACTGGAAAAATTAGGCATTAAGTTTCATTTACTATATCCGTATCTACTTAAAATTCAACAAATAAATATATTTTAAATGGGTTCAGCAAACCTTTTATTTATGAGTAATTTGTTATTCTTATTTTAAAATCGACAACTAAAATTATACTTTCATTTTAAAGCACGATTCTCAGAAGGCCTACTTTATTTATATGCGGTATTCGACGAGATTTGCCGATTACTAAATAATTTGTTATTCGATTCATGGGATAGTGAAAAAATATGTGATCCTAATTTTCTTCTTTTACTATGTTTATTTACCAAACAGTTAATTATTTATTAAATAGAATAAAAGTAAAACATTCCGCAACAGCCCTTTGTGTGTCAGGGGGTTCAGGGCTGTATGTGTTCAACACTGCTCACAAGCATCCTTTACTTCTCAGACAAACTGGTACCCATCGATCTGAGCCTGGATGGGCTTCAAGCCGCCAATGAGGAACGAACCCCTTTTCTTCACAACAGCTCATCGACTAGAATAAATAAGTTATTAAACCAGTATTATATTGGTAGGGAAAAAAAAAGACATATTATGAAAATATTAGCTTCAAAATGAATTTTTTTTTATTGGTGCTAATGAATTTCATATTTATTAGTTATTCTGTCAAATTCGAAATTTCATTCATGAAAATTTAGCTGCTCTCGAAAATATAAATTCGCGGCGCCCCCGATTTTAGTTTTTGTTAGTATAGTCAAATTCGAAATTTGTCTCTGCAGAAATTTTAGTTGTCGGTGTTCTAAAAATAATTATTAATGTCTTTACTAAACTTATAAAATATTTGAGTAGCAACGTTTTTAGTTGAGTAAGGTGAAAGTGAAAACAAGTGTTATGTTCTAATTATACATACGAAAATTATAGCGGAAAGTTTGTGTTTTCCTATGACAGGCTTATGCGACATTCTATGGTAGCGACATCTAGTAAAGAATTGCCCTCTTTTTTCGAATTTATTGATGTCTCTAGTCTAATCTTTTATCGGGCAAAAATGGGTAGCTTAAGGCTCACCATAGCTCTCTTCGACAAGAGCAACTTGTTATCATTTTGTGTTTACATCATACATCATTCTCCTCTATGTACGAAAGGAGTGGGATATAATAGACCAATAATTCACTGAATTTTTTTAACTCCGGAATAAATTGTAAAATACATATTTTTTATAGATGGAATTCATACTATTATAAATGTTTTGAAGATGCAGTCATGTTTTAAAACATTCTCAAAAAAAATTAAGTTTTAAAAAAAACATTTCCTCAGTATAAGACAAGAATACGAATAATTATACTTTAAGTAAAAAACTGAATTTTTCTCTCTAAAGAGAAGCTTCATTCATTTAGTGTTGGTGTTAAAACATCCACATTAAAAACTCATATAAATAGAAATTGTTGTGTTTATACTGCAGAGAAGTTTTTTTTTTTCATGCTGTGTGTGTGATATTACTCTCGCTCATATATCTAATTTAATTAAAGATGCTTTTTATACTGGATAGGATAAATCTTTCACATTTATATTAATACTCTTTTATTCATAGTGCAGAGACCCTTATCCATGCAATATGTGTGATAAAACATTCCCTCGTGAAATATATTTAAATGCACATTCTCTTGTTCAAACGGGAAATAAACCTTATTCATGCAATATGTGTGATAAATATTTCTCCCATAAAAAAAGTTTGAATGCACATTTCCTTGTTCATAACGGAGAGAAACCTTTTACATGCAATGTGTGTAATAAATCTTTCACGCAGAGATCTAGTTTAAATAGACACGTGCTAGTTCATAGTGGAGAGAAAGCTTATTCGTGCAGTGTGTGTAATAAAACATTCTCACAGAAATCTCACTTAATGAAGCACTCTCTTGTTCATAGTGGAGAGAAAGCTTATTCATGCATTGTGTGTGGAAAAACATTCTCACAAAAATCTCATTTGAATAATCACTCTTTTGTTCATAATGAAAATAAACCTTATTCTTGCAGTGTGTGTGATAAAACATTCCCTCGAAAATCCGATTTGAATAATCACTCATTTGTTCATACTGGAGTAAAGCCTTATGCATGCAATGAGTGTGATAAATCTTTTGCAGTAAAATCTAGTTTAAATAGACATACTCTTCTTCACACAGGTGAGAAGCCTTATTTATGTAGTGTGTGCGATAAATCTTTTACACTGAAATCTAATTTAGATAAACACTCTGTTGTTCATAGTGGAGTGAAAGCTTTTTCATGCAGTGTATGTGATAAAAAATTCTCCTGGAAATCTGATTTAAATAATCACTCTTTACTTCATTCTGAAAATAAACCATATTCATGCAGTATGTGTGATAAATCCTTCACAAAAAAATCTATTTTAAAAGTACACTCTCTTATTCATACTGGAGAGAAGCCTTATTCGTGCAGTTTTTGTGGTAAATCTTTCACGCAGATGTCCAGTTTAAATCAACATTATGTTGTTCATACTGGAGAGAAGCCTTATTCATGCAGTGTGTGTGGAAAATCTTTCACACAGATGTCTACTTTAAATAAACACAATCTTCTTCATACAGGAGAGAAGGTTTAAGACTTGTTTGTGATAAAACTTTTTCTCGAAAATCCATTATAAATCCGAACTATCTTTTTCATGCCTCTTAAGATCCAGAGTGTTGTAATCTACTTGATTATGGATGGTGTTTTCGACACTAGGGGGCGCTGCAAGCCGTATGCCGCTTATACTTCCAAGTTACTGTTTTCGGTGTATTTTAAAGCCATTTGGCTTACAACGTAATCATTGTGTTTAGATTCTTGCAAACGTGGCATTTGAATACTTTTACTAAACTTAATCTTGCTTCTTGAACAATATGCTAACACTAACTTTAGATGGTACACAGAACATGAGACGACAACACGAACATACAGTAATAAACAAATGGAAAGAGGCCAAATCAAAACTTCCAAAAAAGCGAGTTATTCAAAATCTAGCAACCATGTCACCTTTTTTAACAATATATCTCTAAATAACTAAAACAAATTTTCACTTCAAACTCACCAGAATTACATAATAACATTAATATCTTATGAAATACTGCAGATTTGAGTTCAGAAATTATTTCTAATTTATTTCTTTTATTGAAAACAAAATTATCCGTTTGAAAATATCGCCTCGCAGAATAACATGTAGTAAGCAGCTGCATTCTTTCTAACCGGAACTAGAGCAGGCATACAGCTCGAGATTGTTATTGTTTACATTTCTACTGAAAACACCATTCATATAGTTGCTGTAATTTTATGTCTTACAACTTATAGCATCCTGTCTGAGAGACGTATGAGATTTGGAATTGGGTGGTTGTCCTGGTTACCTATTGGTACTGCATCTTCAATTAGCAAGTGCATTGGAGCAGTTTTAAGTTCTTTATGACTGTTTCTGCTATGGAGCCACAAGACTTGAGCAGGGTTTCCTAGTGTTTCTTTTTTTTTTACTTGTTGAATGGCAAATTTGTGATACCCAATGATTGGTGTGCAAAAAAAAGAAAAACTTTTGACATTAAATTTTATGTTTTCATTGACATAAAAATAAGTTATATTAATGAACAAGAATAATTTTTTGAAAGCTTGTAAGTGTGTCAAAAGACTTATTTGATATTTTTTGTACATAAAATTTGATTATTGTAATAAAATATTATTGATAAAAGATCTTGCTCTTCTCAGTAGCGACCAACAAGTAAATCTCATTCTTTTCGAATAGCTAGTTACTAGCGAAAAATCACTAAAAGATGCAGATTGCCAATTTGTTTAGTTTTATTTATTTTTTAAACACAAAAAGTTTGTGATTTTTTTTTAAAGTGCCGAAAATCTTTTTTAAGTTATGTTTTTCTTGTGTATAGGTACTATTCTTCTATTTAAAAAAGTATTATAAAAAAGGACTATTTTTTAAAGAGATATACCCTAAAAAAAATTTTTTCTTCTTCTCTTTTTCTCTACCTTTAAATTCAAAATATCAATTTTTGATATAAATCTAATGTATATCTTTTTGACTATGTATATTTTTTTGTGATTAAAAATTTTTTGTATTGTTAGAAAACTTAAGGGGGGATTTTTCAATAAAAAAGAAATTCAAAGAACCCTGAACGCCTAATGATCTGAATCAGATCAGTAGCATAAGCTATTACGTTTTTTCGTTTTAAGTGCTATTTCACTCTGCATAGAATTGATACCTAAAGGTTTTGTTTAAAAGGATTTCTTAATGTTAGTAAAAGTGAAAAGACTTATTTTGTTTACCTGAGAGCCAAACAAATGAAACATTTCTTATTTCCATTAAGAGTAAATATCCCCATCATAAGACACCCCTGTATATCATCATTTTGCATTCTTGTTAAGTAAGTACGAATCACATTTATGTTACATTTGGATCTTGTTAAGTAAGTACAAATATCATTTATGTTACATTTGGATTATGTTAAGTAAGAACAAATCACATTTATGTTACATTTGGATACTCCAAATCGATAACTCTTCTGGAATTCGAAAGACTGGGCCAATGGCTAGACTGAAGTTTACATCCATTTCAGTCCCTTCCACCACATAGTTTTAAATTCTTTCATTGTTTAGAGAGGGATGGTTCATGATATAGTACATTTAAACTCTTAATTGAAGAGGTTGTGAATGCTCCTGTGGCAATTTGTGTGCCTGTGTTGGGAATTGTGTCAAGATATTTTAGAGCTAGCAGAACCGTAAACAATACTGCCATAAAGTTTAGATCAGATAACATTTCGCTATATTTTTAACATTGAATTTGTATCTGCCCCATAAGATGAATTTTTAATAACTTTCAGTAAATTTTGTTTTGCGTTACAAGCTTTTCTAAAATATGGAATATGGGGTTTAAAAGTTCATTTTGAGTCTAAAACCATACCAAGAAAACTTGTCTCACTTAAAACTGGGATGTGAGAACTATTAAAGTTCAGGGTCAGGATGAAGCGCAAAATAAAATGCATACAAAATATTTTAGTCGTTGAAAAGGTAAAACCATTTAATTCTGCTCACTGCAATAGTTTGTTAATGGAATGTTGCTATTGTCTTTTAGTTGCGTGCATGTGAGAGGCTTTATAAGAAATTTGAAGATCGTCAGCAAATAATCTTCCATCTACTGTTGGTGGCAGTATAGATAGAATTTCATTTATTTTTTATTAGAAATAGTGTTATACTGATAACACTGCCAACTCTTCCTCTTGAATAAAAGTCTCTGATAAAATATTATTTATTCTTACTAGAAATGTCCTGCTAGTTAAAAAGTTCTGTATAAAATAAAACATATTACCGACAATATTATAATTTAAAAGGTCTCGTAAAATTACATATCGCCATGTTCGGTCGTAAGCTTTCTCTATGTCGAGAAATATGGTTACGAGATGTCTCTTGAGAAAAACCTCTCGATTATCTGTTTCCAGAAGCATGAGGTTGTTAACTGTAGAGCTGCATTTGCGAAAGTCACTTTGTTTATTGGATAAAATTTTTCGGTATTCCAATGCGTGTACTAATCTTGAATTTATAATGCGTTCAAGAAGTTTTAACAGGCAGCTAGTCAGAGCAATTGGTCGATAATTTGAAGGATTTTTAGGAATCTTTTCCTGACTTAGGGACAGCAACAACATATGATTTGCGCCGAACTGAAAAGAACTGTCTTTCTAACCATACTTTATATTGAAAAGTCGTATAAGTGAGTGAGTCTGATAGATGCTTAAATATATTATTGTGGATTTTATCAGCGCCTGGAGATGTTTCTTTACATATAATTCTCTCATGGGCTGCAATAGTGGCACAACTAAAAAAACACGTGTTTTGGGCTAAGAACAGGTGTAAATATGAAAATAGAAATTCTTTTCAGCAGCAATACAGCATACACAACTCATAATTCAACTTGAAGGTAATCTTCGTTTAAGCAAACTAAAGCATTTCTTATGCATTTTCCTTAGCAATGAAAACTTTAAACCCACTTATCTCAAAGCATGATTTTTTGAGTTGTGCCGCTATTCCAGCCCATGAGTGACTTAGCTGACTTTAGTTCATGCATCGTTAAGGGTGAATTATAATCGTCATTACGTAATGAAGGTTTTAAAACTATTTTTTTTCTTTTCGAGATTTGTGACTTAATTAGGATTGAAGATGATTTTCTTTACTGCAGGCGAAGGAAAAGTTTTAGGCAATTGCAAACCCATTAGTGTTTGCGATTTCCTTAAGGCTGTGATTTTATTACCGTTCTCTATAAATGTGGAATTGGAAAGAAAGTATACTGTCCAGAAGTTATTTTTATTTTCTTCCATACTTCGGCTGATTTAATATTGTTATTTTATTTACATATTTAATCCACGAATCTCTCTGACTTAGTTTGCGAATTCTTCTAGCTGGTAACCTCACTTGTTTAAAGAGTATTTAGTTTTCAATTGCTGGATTGCGATGTGTCTTTGTTTTCTATTGGTTCTATTACAATTTTTATTCCACCATGGCTTGGCATATTTTGGTTGTGTTGTATACGGAATGGATATTTCGGCTGCAGATACTAGAGCATTTGCAACATGTGATGTGGCTTCTTCAATATCGCTATTATCAATGATGTCTTCATCTAGAGGAATTGATTTCTGAAAAAGAGACCAGTTTGATAGATTTATACGTAATTTAGGATAGGAAAAATGCCCTGTAGTTGTAGATCCAGATTGTGAAACATTAATTATAAAAGGAAAATGATCGCTGTGGTAGAGAGGTCATCCCAGACAACAGCAAGATTGGATAAATGCGTGGTGAGCATAACTTTAGATCGATACTGCGAAATGTTCTTGAGATAAGATAATGCATGCTATTGAGAGAGTTGTGAAAAGCACTGAGAAGATAATGATTTTGTTGAAGTGCTGGGTACCTGCTGAGTTGCTTTAGAATGCTTTGTTGTGGATGTACTGGCAAATTTTTTGAGCAGCCAAGTTTTTAATATTGTGTTCTGTGGGTCTGTTTCTTCTTCATTGTATTGTATGTCTGTGGATTTCGTTATTTTGGAGTTAGATAATGCAGCTGTATATGAAATGTTAGGGTGCGGCTGTGTACTTAGGAATTTTGTCTTGGCTTCTATATAGGAGAGATTTTGCGGCACTTTAAAGTTTAAGATTTGCTTTTCCTGTTTCCATTTTTGACATAGTCGTGTACATTGTTCAAGTGATGTACAAGATTTAAATGCATGTTCTGTTTGGCCGCAGCGGGAACAGTTTTCCTTCCCTCTGCAATTTATGGTAGAATTGTCAAACTTTTGACATTTAAAACAGCGTATAGGATTGTGAATATGAGGTCGGACTTTACGATTTCTATATCCAGCTTCTATGTCAGTAGGTAATGTGGCTGTGTTGAAAGTTAAAATTATGTGTTGAGTTTCAATAATTTCTGATCCTTTTTTAATAGTCATGTGACGTTCATCAATAACGCCTTTAGTAGAGACCGAGACACCTTCAATGACTTCAGATATTGCAGGACTTTATCGGATACGACACCTTGAGATATCTTTGAAATATTGATTGAGGATGCAGTTATAGTGACATTGCCAAATTTATGTAATTTTAGTAGTGTAATAGTTTAACAGAGGAAATTTCTACTAATAAATCCCCTGATGACAGCTGTCGGACATTTTTTTGGATTTCCTGTGATCGTAGGAAATCTAAAAAAAAAAAAACACAGGAAATCCAAAAAAAAAAACGAGTGATCACTCGAGTGATTTTTGTACAAGAAATAGAGACAAGTTAGAAAGTTTCTTTTCGGTAGAACTATAATCTTGCTTTTGTAGGGTCGTTAATTAGTACTCGGGGGCACTCGCATGGGGCATAATAAACTCGGAGGCACTCCCATGAAGTAGAACGTAGTCCCAAGCAAAGTGCTGCTAAGCAAACCCCGCCAGCCGGTTGAAAGAGAGGGGGACCTAACCTCCTTCCTTTCGTCTAGAGCAGCGGTCGGCAAACTTATTAGCCAAAGAGCCAAATATGAACATTACAACAATTTTTAAAAAAGTTAGGAGCCAAATCTGCTTGTTTAG